CCAGAGTAAACATCTCGGTCTTTGAATGCTCTCATCCAAGGACCGCTAAAGCTGGGTACAATAGCTGGGGGTGCAGCCATGCTACAAAATTACACCACTTTAACTGCCATGGCTCAATATTGAGAGTTGCAGTTTTGTACGATACCTAGCCTTCTCTGTTAGAATATTGCAATGCCAGAACAAACTACAAATCGCAGGATTTTATAAGGAACTCCCGGTGGCACAATGGGTTAAACCCTTGTACCGTCAGTGTTTCGAATTCAGAGAGAGCGAGTTGAGCTCCCTCTGTCAGCTCCAGCTTCCCATGCAGGGACATGAGAGAAACCACCCACAAGGATGATATAACATCAAATCATCTGGGCGTCCCCTGGGCAATGTCCTTGCAGACGGCCAATTCTTTCACACCAGAAGCGATTTGTAGTTTCTCAAGTCACTCCTGACATGACCAAAAAAAAAAAAAAACCCAAACTAGCAGGATTTTACAGCATTGAACCAAGGCAATTAAAATGGTGTTAATTTGCTATAATTCTGCAACATGGCTAACACTCAAAATAAGAAACAACCCAGTATGCAGTACCCAGTATGCAGGGGGGAAATGTAGAGATGGACACATTATGATTAAAAGTGGTTTCTCTCAGGGAAACTTCTCAAAATAGACACAGAGATATTTTCTCAGGCATAGGGCCGTGTATGTCTTAACAAATATAAGATTGTATGTGACCAAACGTTAGTTTGTGATCTACATTGTGAAGTAACACTAGCTAGGCATCAAATTATACATTCAAATTAGGGCTACTTCCTGACCATGATTTTCAGCAGGCTAAATTACCTAGTAGTAATGACAAAAAGGCATAATTGCCCTGCTTTGAAACAATCTGTAATGTAAATAACAAAAATATGTGTTTGTCCAAGCACGGGACTTATCCTGACCTTTGAGGTGTAGAATATTTCCTATCAGAATAATGCAGAGGAGCAAATATGGCAAGTGAGGGAGGGGAAGCATGCCTATAGAGTGTAAAACCATACAAAGTGTGGAGGAAGCAGATAGGAAAATGTTTCCCCTCTTCTCGCATAATGCTAGAGCTTGGAGTTGTGCACTGAAACTGAATGGCCAGAGATTCAGGACAAAGAGAAGTGGCACAGATAAACTGTGGGATCCACTGCTCTGAGAAATGGTGATCTCTGCCAAATTTATCTAGCCTTTGGCCTAAGGTAGCAGGCCAGGAAATTAACTTTTTGGTCCCCCCCCCCCCCGCCCCCCCCCCCCCCAAATGCAGCACTAAGATGAGATATGGAAGGTCCAAGCTTAAAAGATGTTTCTCCAAATTTCAACTGATTGTCATCAATCATTTTGTTGTTTTGATTTTTAAGACTAAGGCTTATCCTGTTGGAGCCCCCAGTGGCGCAACAGGTTAAGCCCTTTTGCTAGCAGGACTGCTGACTGATAGGTCAGTGGTTCAAATTCAGAGAGAGCAGGTTGAGCTCCCTCTGTCAGCTCCAGCTTCCCATGTAGGGACATGAGAGAAGCCTTCCACAAGGATGGTAAAAAAACATCAGACATCCAGACTTCTCCTGGGCAATGTCCTTGCAAATGGCCAATTTTCTTGCACCAAAAGCGACTTGCAGTTTCTCCAGTTGCCCCTCACAAGAAAAAAACCCCATCCTGTTATTAGGAAGGCAATTGCCCCCAGCAGAAGATATAGAATCATAGAATCATAGAGTTGGATGAGACCTTGTGGGCCATCCAGTCGAACTCCCTGCCAAGAAACAGGAAAATTGCATTCAAAGCACCCCCGACAGATGGCCATCCAGCCTCTGTTTAAAAGCCTCCAAAGAAGGAGCCTCCACCACACCCTGGGGCAGAGAGTTCCACTGCTGAACAGCTCTCACAGTCAGGAAGTTCTTCCTCATGTTCAGATGGAATCTCCTTTCTTGTATTTTGAAGCCATTGTTTCACGTCCTAGTCTCCAGGGAAGCAGAAAACAAGCTTGCTCCCTCCCCTGTGGCTTCCTCTCACATATTTATACATGGCTATCATATGTCTCCTCTCAGCCTTCTCTTCTTCAGGCTAAACATGCCCAGCTCTTTAAGCCGCTCCTCGCTGGGCTTGTTCTCCAGACCCTTGATCATTTTAGTTGCCCTCCTCTGGATATGTGTCAGTCGGTGAAATGTTTTGGTGGACAGAAGCATATGCACCATTAATTAATGGATGAATTAAAAGCTTTTGTGAAGCCAGAAGTGCTCATCTGAAGAAAAACTGTCTGATCGACTTCTTGTTACTGCTCTTGTTACAGATGCACAGTAGGGTCAGCTATGAGAAAAGGTCACTTCTTTTGTATCTCTGGATCAGTTACTGCTCCAAGCAGGATCCATGCTGAGAAAAGTGATCCATGCAACAACAAGACTCCACAACAAGTGACCAATCCTTAGCATACACTCTAATAGTAGCTCTTACAGAGGCAAGAATGCACCATGTGTCCAAATTTAATTCTGAAGATAAGCATGTCTCAGTTATCGGACCTTTGGCAAAGGTTGCTAGGTATTCCATGCGTTCATTTTCTCTCCCTGCCCAATCCTCAGTGGGAAGTTCCATCCCTCTCTGGTATGCCAGTCTGTCCGCAGCAGACTTTCACACACTTAGCCAGCCTAGTCTAGCCTGAATTGTCTGATTTTATCGGTCCCCCCTCCAGATAACTCAGCTACACACATAACACATCCTGCACCATCCCCACCTCTCAAGCCCACTCTTGTTACCTCCAAGGTCATGCCCTTTTCACAGCCTTTTCAGAGATGAAATGGACTTGCTTAGAAGGTGGGAGGAAGGGGGTGGTGAAGACCTCTTCAGTTCAAAAGTTAAGAAGTCATTGGTTGAGATTCAAAGGACCAAAGGGAGAAAGGGGTAGGATTCCTGTCCCATGACTGCTTGCACTAGTCATTAGATGAGTTTCCAAATCTACTCTTTATTTGTGACTGCTTTTCTTTGTGGCAACCACTCAGGCAGTGTTTCTCAACCTTCCTAATGCCGCGACCCCTTAATACAATACAGGTCCTCATATTGTGGTGACCCCCAACCATAAAGTTATTTTTGTTGCTACTTCATAACTGTAATTTTGCTATTGTTATGAATCGTAATGTGAATATCTGATATGCAGGATGTATTTTCATTCACAGGACCAAATCTGGCACAAATAACCCGATACACCCAAATTTGAATATTGGTGCGTTTGGAGAGGGATCGATTTTGTCATTTGGGAGTTGTAGTTGCTGGGATTTATAGTTACCTTACAGTCAAAGAGCATTCTGAACTCGACCAATAATGGAATTGAACCAAATGTGGCACATAGAACTCCCATGACCAAACAGAAAGGATTTGGTAGGGATTGACCTTGAGTTTTGGAGTTGTAGTTTACCTACATCCAGAGAGCACTTAGGACTCAAGCAATGATGGATCTGGACCAAACTTGGCATGAATACTCAATATGTCCAATTGTGAAGACTGGTAGAGTTTGGGGAAAATAGACCTTGACATATGGGAGTTGTAGTTGCTGGGATTTATAGTTTGCCTGCAATCAAAGATCATACTGAACCCCACCAATGATAGAATTGGGCCAAACTTCCCACACAGAACACCCATGACCAACAGAAAATACTATGTTTTCTGATGGTCTTTGGTGACCCCTCTGGCACCCCCTTGAGACCCCTCCCCCCAGGGTTCCCGACCCCCAGGTTGAGAAACACTGCACTTAGGCAATGGTCAACACAAGCCAGGCCCGTAGCCAGGATTTTGATTCGGGGGGAGGGGGCTGAGTCTGAGTAAAAGAGGGTCTACCCTAGCAAACTTTTTGTATCGTTACCCCAATACCCCCATGCATGAGATATATTGAGCATGGTGATCAGATCATGATCTGAATAAACATAACAGTTTAAATAATGTACCAGTAAGGCCTTTTCGCAGACCATCATGAGAATTTCGGGAGGGGATGAAGCCCCCAACCCCCCCCCCCCCCCCCCCCGGCTACATGCCTGACACAAGCTGTACCTAAAGCAAGAAATAAGAGACAATGGTTGGAATCAACCCTTCGCATTCAATGAAGTTAGGGACATAGGACCCCCACAAAAAAAAATTAAATGTATTGTCGAAGGCTTTCATGGCTGGAATCACTGGGTTGAAATCCATAAACATGTGGACAATTCAACAGAAAGGAGGAAACCATGAAAATGAACAAAATCTGGCTACCAGTATTTAAAAATTCTAAAATTACAACAGCAAAACAATAGAGAAGTAACAATCAGCGACAGCTAATCACCTCTCAACAAAAGATTGCCCCAGGCACTAACAAGCCACACCAAAAAACTGCCAGGCCATCAAATGCTAATCAAGGTGGTCAGTTGAAACATTCACACCTAGCTCCAACAGACAAGAGTTCTTTGTCCCACCCTGGTCTTTCCACAGATATATAAACCCAATTTTCCTAGTTGCAACAGACCTCACTACATCTGAGGATGCTTGCCATAGATGCAGGTGAAATGTCAGGAGAGAATGCCTCTAGAAAAACCTACAACAACCCAAAAAATTAAAGCCTGCAAATTAAAAACATTGTTAATTCTTTAATAGAGAGAACACCTCTCTAGCAACCTTTAGAACAGAGCTTTCCAAACTGTGTGTTGGGACACATTAGTGTGTTGGCTGCAGTGTGCAGGTTTGTCACACAAACATAATGAGAAACCTCTGCAACAGTATTCACACCCATCTGTAAAAATTCACAGGTAATTTTTGTATACAGAAATAGCATCTTCTGCACAGAAAATATTTCTGTTGAGCTTTTTTTAAACCTAGGTCTTTGCATTTTTCTTAAGTTTTATAAACAACATAAAGTTTCAGTTTGAGTGGAAGGGTTGTGGGGTGCAAATGACCTGCCACTATATCACTATTGCTATTCCTACTTCTACTCCTACTGATAATAATAGTAATGTCATTTTCATTTTCTGCTCCAGCAGCCATGGGTGAGTGGGGGTTCCTGAGCTCCCTTCTGGATGCGGTGCAGGAGCACTCGCCCATGGTGGGCCGCTTCTGGCTGGTGGTGATGCTTATCTTCCGCATCCTGATCCTAGCCACCGTAGGCAGCGACGTCTTCGACGATGAGCAGGAGGAATTTGAGTGCAACACCAAGCAGGTTGGTTGCAAGCAGATTTGCTATGACTTGGCCTTCCCGATTTCTCACTACCGATTCTGGGTTTTTCACATTGTGGTGCTCTCAGCTCCAGCAGTCCTCTTTGTCATCTACTCCATGCACCAGACCACTAAGATAAACCGCAACCTGAAGGAGATGGAAACAAGTGAGGAGGAAGCCAATCGGGCAGTGCAGAGGACTCAGGCACAATATGGCCTCCAGACCAACCAACGCAGCCAAAACATCAAGACATTCTACATAGTCAATGTAGTTGTGAGGATCTTGGCTGAGATCGGCTTTCTTGTTGGGCAGTGGATGCTGTATGGCTTCCAAGTGGAATACCAGTACATCTGCAAGCATCAGATGTGTCCACACCTCATTGACTGCTTTGTCTCTCGCCCAACTGAGAAGACTATCTTTATCCAGTTCTATTTCATGGTGGGGCTGGTGTCAGCTCTCCTCAGCTTGGTAGAGCTGGCTCACCTTTTGTTCAAGAACCGGTGCCGGAGATGCCGCACCATTGCTCCTCCTCCTACTGTGGCATCATACGAACAGCAGGACAATTGGTCCAATCAGAAACAAGAGAAATCTCAGCACTTCTTGGCCCCAGCAGATGGGGGCCACAATGGGACACCATCTCATGACCAAATACCAAACCATTGTGAGCCAAAGGCTCCCTTCCATCATAAAAGCTCTACCAAATGTAGCAGGTCGTCTCGCTCCTCCACCCGAGCAGATTTGACAGTGTAAGGCCTGGGACAACTACTATTCTTCCTGACTTCTTGTTCCCTGGATGAGCTGGATTCCTCCGGGGCTGGACTCCACGACTTCTCAGCCATTGGTCCAATTATGCAGACCTGATATTTGAAGGTCTATCCTTGCTTGGGATTTGCTCCCACAATATTTGTAATTCATGCTTCTTTTTTTTCATATATATGTCTCAGAGAGCAAACTTGTTATGATGTGGGTTGTTTAATTTTGGAATAAAAAGAGTGAAGGAGGGAGGTGGCTTTTGCAGTGCTGTGGCTTACTCCTCTCCAAACAAGAAATTGTCCTGTGCATTCCCACAAGCTTCGGAGCTCTCTTGGTCACATAGGAGCACAAAAGTGAGATGATAGAAAAGCAGCAGGGACAAAGATGTTTTAGCTACTTCCTTTTGTTAGCCTCAATTAGATTTCTTGAGAACACAAGATAGGCAATAAAAGCGTGATATATATATATCCCCCAATGGCGCAGTGGGTTAAAGCGCCGAGCCTTGTTGACTGAAAGGTCAAAGGTTCGAATCCGGGGAGCGGCGTGAGCTTCTGCTGTCAGCCCCAGCTTCTGCCAACCTAGCAGTTTGAAAACATGCAAATGCGAGTAGATCAATAGGTACCGCTCCGGCGGCAAGATAACGGTGCTCCATGCAGTCATTTCAGCCACATGACCTTGAAGGTATCTACAGACAACGCCAGCTCTTTGGCTTAGAAATGGAGATGAGTATCACACCCCAGAGTTGGACATGATGGACTTAATGTCAGGGGAAAACCTTTACCACCCCCCCCCCCCACACACACACACACATATAATAAAGAGGGAGTCACTGGATGATGCATTATGGAGTTGATGAATAGTGTTGAGATTAACAACGTGCAGTTAGTCATAACTCATTCTTGACAAATGTTAAACAAACCAATTGAGTAGAGCAGGAATGGGAAACTTCTGTCCCTTCAGATATTGCTAAATAACAATACGTTAGCAAGGTTAACCAGTGGCAAGGGATGATGAATTCTGCAGTCCAACCACATCTGGAGGGACCCAAATTTCATTAGTTGGGCTAAATACTGTGATTCCCACTTTGTGGACAGGAGGCTTGTGTATCATGTCTATGAAATCTGTTAATGTTGTGTTGTTGAAGGCTTTCATGGCCAGAGTCACTGGGTGGCTATGAGTTTTCAGAGCTGTATTGCCATTTTCCAGAAGCATTCTGTCCTGATGTTTCACCCACATCTATGGGTAGGCATCCTCAGAGGTTGAGGGATCTGGGTTGTTGTAGGTTTTTCCGGGCTATATGGCCATGTTCTGGAGGCAATTTTTGCTTTTGCAGTGCTGTGGCTTACTCCTCTCTAAAGAAGAAATTGTCCTGTGCATTACCACAAGCTTTGGAGCTCTCTTGGTCACATAGGAGCATGAAAGTGAGATGATAGAAAAGCAGCAGGGACAAAGATGTTTTAGCTACTTCCTTTTGTTAGCCTCAATTAGATTTCTTGAGAACACAAGATAGGCAATAAAAGCGTGATATATATATCCCTCAATGGCGCCTCCAGAACATGGCCATATAGCCCGGAAAAACCTACAACAACCCAGTGATTCCAGCCATGAAAGCCTTCGACAATATGTTGAGGGATCTGTTGGAAACTAGGTAAGTAAGGTTTATATATCTGTGGAATGTCCAGGGTGGGAGAAAGAAGTCTTGTTTGTTTGAGGCAGGTGTGAATGTTGCAAATGGCCACCTTGATTAGCATTTAATGGCCTTAAAGCTTCAATGCCTGGCAGTTGCTGCCTGGGGGAATCCTTTGTTGGGAGGCTAACACCTCCCAACAAAAGATTCCCCTAGGAGGCAAGGTGGCCATTTGCAACATTAACACTTGCCTCAAGCAGACGAGAGTTCTTTCTCCCACCCTGGACATTCCACGGATATATAGACCTCACTTGCCTAGTTTCCAATAACCTCTGAGCATGCCTGCCATAGATGTGGTGAAACCTCAGGAGAGAATGCTTCTGGAATATGGCATACAGCCTGGAAATCTCAATCAAGACTTGGTCTGTAGCGTCCATACTTCTATAGTGCAAGAGTCTCTTAGACTTTTACAACAGACCTTATTTATTTTAGCCTGAGCTTTCACAGGTCAAAACTTACTTACTCAGATACACTGATGGAGCTTAATCCATGAAAGTGCAAGCTAAAATCAATAAAGCAGTCTCAAATGTTCTATCAGAGTCTTTACGCCTCCACAACCTTACTTTCTTTATTTCATACTGAGACAGGCAAACTTGGTTAATGCTTTAAAATTGCTATTATAGAAGAAAAGGCTGAAGTAGATGGAGTGGTTCTGGCAATTCACTATGTAAGGGCATTGTGTCTTCCAGAAAAGAAAACAGTCCATCGGTGTTGGCTGCTTCCTTCAGCCTGGCTAAAGTAAAAGCTTGAACTATAATGTGCTTCAGATTGGTCACCCAGTAACTTCTAACTGGTTTCTCAGATGTGTCTCCAACTGCTGGAGGCTTGACAAATCCTTCTCTTATATATTTCTCTTGGCCAATGCACTCCCGCTATGTTGGTATACAATTCCCATTAGTTGAATACATTAAAGGAGCATTGGTTTCAAGAAGACATATGCACTAGGCATGTGCAATCCATGGTTCTAAATGGTTCTAAATGGTTCTAAAGTACTTACAAAACTAAAGTTCTGTTTGTGAAAACTAGGGGGCGCTGGTGCTTTGCTTCTACAGTGTTGCTAAAGTTCTGCTGGTGAAAATTTCAGAACTCTAACAAAACTTTCAAAATTTCATKATTATTTCRTTATTGGTGATTTTTGTGCCAGAACCTATTAGGAACTGCCATTTATAATGAAATTTTGAAAGTTAGAGTTCTGAAAGTTTCACCACCAGAACTTTAGCCACACTATAGAAGCAAAGCACCAGCACCCCGTAGTTTTCACAACCAGAACTTTAGTTTTGTAAGTACTTTAGAACCATTTGCGTGTGGATGGGCGACACTCCTCCCGCCCGCAGAACCAGAGATGACACTAACAYATAGATGGAGTAAAAATGGCCACAACTTAATTTATTAATTACAGGAACACATGGTTGGCTGCTAGGCATGGGTTCTGGATCAAGATCGATCARCCCGCTGCTGACTGATACCTGATGAGCCCACCGGCACCATACCGGGCCACAAGACACGGCACCCCTGGTAACCGCCGGATGTTCCCTCCCCGGCCAGTAGGGGAGGGGCAGAACCAGATCCAGGGCCCATTCCACATGCCACAAAAGGGGGGTGGTGGGCCACCACACCCCTTGCTGCCAACCCTGGTTGCCTGCAACCAATAAAAACGCCTGATTCCCGGACACCCGAGCACGAAGAGCCGAGGTATCTAGCCAATGCTATTGGGGCCCAAAGTTCTGAGTTCTGAGCCTGCAGGACGTTCAAATCTTGGCCCCTGGGTGCCTTCCTGTCGAGCTTCACCTTAGAGGCCCATTACCTGGCTGACGCTCTGCTCCCCTTGGGTTCTTCCTCCACTGCCTCTCTTCCACTCGCCTGCACCAGCAGTCCTGCGGGAATAGGAAACAGAGCAGCCAGCTATCCCGGGTCCCTCGAGGAGGAGGCCCGGTCTGATGTATGACGTATAGGCTGAAGATCTCCAGCGCCCCATGGCCTTGATGCTGTCCACAGGGATGCCACTCCCGGCAGCTGCAGTAGCTGCTCCTATCCTGAAGGAATGTCCCCCAAACTCACCCTGTGGGAGGCTCAGCTGCTTGGGTGACCCACGGAAAATAGCCATAAACTGATACTTTGTGACGAGGCTCCCGTCTTGGTGTACAAACAGCAGGCCTGGGGTGGTGCCCCGTACGCCCAGGAACTTGGCGAGGGCCCGAACTGGGCAATCTTGCCCTACCTTAGATCCCTTGATGGCGAGGGAGACCCCTTTCCCCCCTGGTCAGTCTTGGACCTCCGAATTCTAATAGACACGAAGGTGCCCTGGATCGCAACGTCCCCTAGTTGCAGAGCCCTACCCGATGTGTCTGTCTTGGCATTGGCTACAACCTCCCCCAGACGAAGGGCCCTAAAGAAAGAAGTGGTGAAGGCTGCCCGAAACAACTTAACCTTGTAATGCGAAGTGCATATCCTCCCGAGGGTCCTGGTGAGGCGGCAGTGGACCTTGTAGGAAAGTGGGCATCTAGTTTTCACAACCAGAACTTTAGTTTTGAAAGTACTTTAGAACCATTTAGAACCATGGATTGCACATGCCTAATATGCACACATTCTGCAGAGTCCACTGTAAACACTGCAAACTGTTATAAATCTGTTAGTAACCATGTGGGTTAGGAAGCAGATATTAATATGTTTGTGATCTACTTAAATCCCAAATTTTGAACTTGGGGAGTGAGAAATGCTGTTGTTGGTCAGTATTCTATATCAACTGCTTAGGGTTCATCTACACCAGTGGTTCATGGACCACCAGCAGTCTGCAAGAACTAAAATATGGTCTGCGGCCTCACTGTTACTACACCATTGCAACGAGAGCGATTAGTCTCATAAAACCCTCTTATAGTGCCGAGGCTATTAAATATGGTTTTCTGTGGGTGAGCAGCTGGTGACTACTGGATGGCATATGTTTTGGATCAGAAACTAGATATGATGAGGTCTATCCAATGCAATTTTCTGAATCATAACCCCAAATAACCAAAGTTGACCAAAAACTAATGTTGGAGAGCAATCCCTGGTCATAGTGATCCCTGGTTTTAAAAAAAAGGGGTGGGGGGTTGGAAACCACTGATCTACACTGTAGAGTTAATGCAGTTTGCTATCACTTGAACCTCCATGGTGCAAGGCTATGGGATCCTGAGATTATCAGTTTGGTGAAGCACCAGTGGCAGAGAAAGCTAAATGCCTTTTAAAACTACAACTCCCATGACTCCATAGCGTGGTGCCAAGGTGCATTAATTCTACAGTGTAAATGCACCCTAATTTAGTTATACTTAACTAA